CACCCACTCCACGCACCACCACTGACCTCCGGGCTGCCAGCGTTGTTCTGGCAGCTGCCGCTCCCGAGGAGGGCTCCGGTCCAGAGGAGTAGCACGAGGGCCTGCATCCCGGGGCCTGCAAGGAAGCGAGAGGTGACAGGCTGTGTCCCTCACCCGCCACCCTGCACCGCCAGGCCAGCCCGGGCACGGAGCTGGGGCTTGGCAGAACAAGGCACCTTCCCTCCAGCCTCCCCAGGCTGGAAGTGGACGCTCAGCTAGATCCCTCTCTCTCAGCAACTCCCGGTCCTCCCCTGCCTCAGGGCCCACCGTCCTATCAGGTGAGCGTGAGCTTTCACTGCATTGTCTGTGCAGGAGGCCCACCAGTGGGCCCCAAGCCCAGGACCCTGAAGACCCAGCGGTGGGCTCCTGGGTGTGGGTATGTCTAGAAAATGCCCACCAAGGTTTTCCCCCGGAGGCACCGGGCCAGCTCATGGGGCAATGCCTAGGAACAGAATGGGGGCAGCATCGAGGCCTCGTGAGCAGAATCACTGACTACAGAGAATGGAGGCCTCCGGGCCAGCCCCTGCTCTCCCTGGGCTCTCAAACGCTGCCCTCCTCTGGCCTGGGAGCCGTGGCCTCATAAGGGACTCCTTTCCTCCCCAGACAGAGCTCTGATTCTGACTGTTAGGAGGGCTGGGCCTCGGGTGGGACAGCTTGGGCTCAAATTTCAATTCTGGATTTTAATAGCTTTCTTTCTTTCTTTCTTTCTTTCTTTCTTTCTTTCTTTCTTTCTTTTTCTAATTTTCACCTGATATTTTCACCTGATATTTTTTTCCATTGATTCTTAGAAAGAGTGGGAGGGAGGGGGAGAGACAGAGAGAGAAACATCAATGTGAGAGAGACACATTGTGTGGCAAGCAGGGCAGGGGGATCGAGCCTGCATCCCAGATACATGCCCCTTGACCAGAATCAAACCCTGGACCCTTCAGCGCACAGAGCCAAACTGGCCAGGGTTTAATAGCTTTCTAAGTCATAATATCTTCTCTTATAAAATGGAAATCAAGCCAAAACCGGTTTGGCTCAGTGGTAGAGCGTTGGTCTGCGGACTGAAAGGTCCCAGGTTGGATTCCGGTCAAGGGCATGTACCTTGGTTGCGGGCACATCCCTGGTAGGGGGTGTGTAAGAGGCAGCTGGTCGATGTTTCTCTCTCATCGATGTTTCTAGCTCTCTGTCCCTCTCTCCTCCTCTCTGTAAAAAATCAATAAAAAATATATTTAAAAAATAAAAAATAAAATGGAAATCAAATAGTTCTTATTTGATCAAATAGTTCTCTATTGTGATAAAGATTAAAGTAGATGATGCCTCAGTCACACTTCCCAGTGCCAGAGACAGTGAGCCCTCCAGGGGACCCCAGGGCCCCCTTCTCCCCAGGGAGCCAGGTCTTCCCCCTCCCCCTGGAAATAGCTCTCACTCCTTCGAAGCCTTCTTTCCTCCAGGTTAAACAGCCCCCCTCTTAGGAAGACCACCCAAGTCCCTCCTGCTTCCCAGCTGTGGTCTCTTCCGGCCCGGCTCCGGCCTGGCCCCTGGGCCACGAGGGAAAAGGGAAATCAGGGTCCAGGGCTCTCGGTCAAGCATGTCAAACTCTCGTTTATTTGGCCCGCTTTAGCCTCTGAGTTTGACACGCTTGCTCTAGGCGCTCCACCACCCCTCACCCTCCTGCACTCACTGTACCTCTGTAAACCAGATGGATGCTCAGCTAGATCCCTCTCTCTCAGCAACTCCTGACCCTCCCCTGCCTCGGAGCCCACAGTCCCATCAGGTGAGCGTGAGCTTTCACTCCATGGTCTGTGTCAGGAGGCTCACCTGTGAGCTCAAAGGCCAGGACTGTGAAGACCCAGCGGTAATAAGGATTAAAGTAAATGATGTCTTAATCACACTTCCCAGGGGCAGGCAGGCAGGAGCTGAGCACCCGCAGGCTGCGATCTCTCTCTCTTTTTTTTTTTTTTTAATATATTTTATTGATTTTTGTACAGAGAGGAAGGGAGAGAGACAGTTAGAAACATCGATGAGAGAGAGTCATCGATCAGCTGCCTCTTGCATAGCCCCGACTGGGGATGTGCCCGCAACCAAGGTACATGCCCTTGCCCGGAATCGAACCCGGGACCTTTCAGTCCCCAAGCCAACGCTCTATCCATTGAGCCATACCGGTTTCGGCCGATCTCTTCTTTTGTTGTCTTCCATGCTCTGTAACATTGCCCAGTGGATTACCGGTCTTACTGGTAAGGACTTTGGCCAAAAATCACACACGGCACCCCCAACGTTTCTGTTTGTTCTGAGAAGTCAGGAAAGTATGTGATGTGTGTTGGGGGGGAGGGGTGTGATCGGGTGCAGGAAAGGACAATGAGAAGTCTCGAGACCCTTGGGGCGTGTGTGTGTGTGTGTGTGTGTGTGTGTGTGTGAAGGGCCCCAATCACACACCACACACACAACTCATACTTTTCTGACTTCTCAGAGCAAATAGGAAAGTTGGGGGGTGCCGTGTGTGATTTTTGGCCGAAGTCCTTAAAAAGCAAACCTGATATCAACTGCGCAACATTATAGAGCATCCCTTTCCCCGTCACTTCCCCCACATCATGGTCCCAGAGGTGCAGGGGTGAACATCCCTGGGATCACGATGTGGGGGGAAGGGATGGGGAAAGGGATGAGGCACTGAGGGTGGGGGTTCCCAAATCAGATCTTCCCCGAGGCCTTCTGGTTAGAAAGTGGGACAACATCTCCACCACCGGGACTTTGTCTGGTCCATGTCCTCCATCCGCACGGCCAAGTCAAGAATTTGTCTTTGTCTTCCCTGCCTGCCCCTCCCATCCCTGCAACACACACACACACACACACACACACACACCCCTCGTTGTCCTTTCCTGCACCCAATCACACCCCACACACACAACACATACTTTCCTGACTTCTCAGGACAAACAGGAACGTTGGGGGTGCCGTGTGTGATTTTTGGCCGAAATCCTTACAAGTAAGCCCGGTAATCCACTGGGCAACGTCACAGAGCCTGAGAGGCAACAAAAGGAGAGATGGCCACCCGCGTGTGCTCAGCGCCTGCCTGCCTGCCCCTGGGACCCACTTTCCCTGTAAACCCCGATGGGGAGCACGTGTCCCCGTGAGGAGCCCGTCTCCTCAGCAGCCGCCCTGCCCATGGCTGCCCCTGCCACTCAGGGAGACATCTGCCCTGAGACGGGGCCAGAGAGAGCCCTTAACGCCATCCAGCTCTCCGCCCAGCCGGCCGCACCCAGAGCTGGCGGAGCCCTCCTCGCTGAGCCTCAGGAGACCGGCTTCCTGGAGACTGAGAACTCCGTGAGATCGCAGGCAGCGAGGCCAGAGGGAAAGCTGTCAGCTCCTGTTGCTCTGGCCAGCGGGGAGCTGCGATAGAAGCCAGGGACGGGGTCATCCCGGGACAGTGTGTGGGCAGGCGAAGTTCACCGTTGCAATCCCTGTGGGAGGGGGACCCTCTCTGTGGGAATCCCTACAGAGTCGGAGCCCAAGCCCCAGGACCCGCGATCACGGTCACCATGTGGGTGGGCTGCGGACCGAGGATGCAGGGAGAGACCCCGGTGGGATAAGGCACATGGCTCCACAGCCGGCCCAGGGCCAGGCACCGGGACACGGAGTCTTAACAGCACTTCTGTGAGTCCTCCGCCTTGGCCCTGGGGGTGAGGGGAGTGGAGAGGTTATTGAAAGCCCCCTACAAGGCTGAGGGTCTGCATGGGGACCCCTCTGAGCCCTGTCCAGGGTGATGGTTCATGGGTTGGGCAGGCCGCCATGGCGGGCCAGGGACAGAGGGACAACAATGCCATCCTGTCCAAAGGGCAACAGTATTCCAGCCAGATTCCTGTCCTACCAGGCTGGGGAGGGCATGGGGAGGCAGTAGACACCTCGCTGCTGAGCCACGGTCAGGCCTTCTCTCTGCCCGTGGCCCACGTCAAAAGGCACAAGGATCTGGGATTTCCTGATCTTGCCTTCAAACTGGGAGGATCCATTGGAGCCAATGCATGTGTTTCTAATTAAACCCAATTGTGAGACAAACACCACCATCAACACCCTACTCCTCCTCCTCCTCCTCTTTCCTCCCTCCATCCCCTCCTCCTCCTCCTACTCCTCCTCCTTCCTCTCTCTTTCCTCCCCCCATCCCCTCCTCCTCCTCTTCCTCCCAGAACCACAGAGCCTTCAAGCCACAGGATGGTGGACCACATGGGCCGAGCAAGGAAGGGAACACCCTCTCCCCTGGCTCAGGGAGGGAGAGTCCAAAGAGTCCCCTCCCAACCCACCCCACCCCACCCAGAGTGACCCCATCAGTCCCCAGGCGATGTTCCTTAGGAAGACCTGCTTAAGGGGCCAGAGTGCCCCTGAGCTTCCCCTCCCAGCTCCTCAGAGGGACCAGCCCTGGGCACGCACTCCCCGGCCCCTGCCTCTCCCGCCCTCAGCCCGGGGCTGAACTCCCCGTGGGGCTGGGCATGGCCCGCGGCGAGGGGGTTTCTGGGAAGCCTGCAGCTGTTCTCTGGCCCGGACCCACGCCTCGCTGTGGCATGCCTCCGGGAGCGGAAGGGGCGCGGGCAGCATTCTCTCCAGCACTGGCAGCTGAGTTCCCCCCCACCCCCCCAAACCCCAAACCCTGGCCGGGCTGCATAACAATCTCTGTGTGTGAGAGGCCAGCACCCCGTTGACCTGCCAGCTTTTCCTGGCAGCTCGCTTGGCCAGCAGCACAGGGTGGGCCCTGGGGAGAAGGACCCAGCTGTCCTCCCTCCCAGCCCTCCAGCTGCTGGACAGGGCTGGGAAGTCACCGCTGAAGTCAGCACCAGTTGCCTGGAAAGGCAGCGGCGAGCTGAGCCCAGCGAAGGCCAAGGCCGGGCTGCAGGATGGGCTGCCACCCCTGAGGCCCCGGCACAGTTCCCGGCAGCCGCCTCCCCTCCGGGCTGCAGAGCCTCTTGGAGGTGCCACTCAGACCTGACCCTGCAGCTGAGCTCCCTGCTTCTCCCCCGACAGCCCCCTCCATTGTTTGCCGCCCACTTCATTCAAGTTCTCCCAGCCTCTCCTCGTGGTGCACCGGAGTCTGGGGGTAACT